CCCAGCACCTGGCGCATAATAGCTGTTTGATAAGCAGGAAGTGAACTGTGGACCCCCATGAGCTTTGGCATAGGAATATCTTCTGACCTCAGTTGCTAATGGAATGAAAACCTTCACTATCCTGCTGAGCCGAGGGCTCTGTGATTCAGGGACTCAAGTCAGGTGTAACGATCTCAAGAAAGTGCTCACAGACCCCACTTCCACCCCACAGGCTGAGCTAAGTGCCATGGATCCCTCCATCATAGCACTTAGCAGGAAACAATTCTTGAATGAATGGATGAATGAGCACCTGTGTGTACCAGGCACTGGACAGGGCACTGGGGATACAGAGAAGCATAAGACACAGTCCCTGCCCACAAGGAGCTCACAAATTAGCCTGGGAGATTAGGCACCAAAACCACTTATTTTAATACAGTGGTTACAAGCTATTCATCCATAGGAAGGAGAGACTCATCCCACCACTCAACTTAGAAACACCCACAAGCTATTAAAAGGTTCAGGAGGGAGGGGGCCTGGGTCCTTGATGAGCCTTCATTGAACAACTAAACAACACCATGACCACCTTTCTCTAGACTTCCTGTACAGTCAACAATAAATTGCCTTATAGTTTAAGTCCCAAAAGCATTCCTAACTGATGCACAGAAAAACTCTATGATCATCAGCTATTTCCAACCTTGCCTGCTCTCCTCAGTTCGCGGCTCCTACCACCTCTCTCATCACGCCTAGGTGATGATCCATCTTCTATAGCAAAGGAGGCCCAAAAGCCCCCAGAGAGGGTGGCAGATCTTGGAGGGCAGGCACCGTGTTGATCATCTTTCCTACTGCCCAGACCCACTTGCTTTTTGGTCACTGCCAAGGCCACGAGAGAAGATGGCAACAACAGAGAAGAATCCACTATCCAGAAGCTTACAGACCAGCAAATTCCTGGTGACAGTCGAGTGCTGTCAATGCTCTGCTGAAACATAGGCCCACGCTGCTCTCAAATGGGACAACACTATTCCACACCTTCTGGGATTATGGTGAGGATTGTATGGGACAACACGTGGAAAGCGACACCTGGTCCAGTGCTGGGTATGCAGGGTGCTGAATCAATGGCAGAGAGGATTAGACACAGCTTGGTGCAGTACTGGGTTCTTCCACGTTGCCCTCTCTCCGTCAGGCTACACTTCCTTCTGTGCCCTCAGAACTGGGAAAGGTTGCAGGCTGGAGGGGCAAGGGGATGAGGTGACACAATTATGGGGTCGTTGCAGGGAATTCAGATGGTGAATCCAGGTTGATCAAAGGGAGGGTGAAGTGATCGCTAAATTAAATCCATGTGACTCTGGAGACAGAGAGAGGACAGTGAGAGCAAGAAAGACAGCAACCAAAACAGTAGCTGCTTGTTGTCAACAACACCCTGCTCCAGCCTCACACCGGCCCTATGTTTCAGGGCCTGTGACGCCCTTATAAAGGCCTGCATGGGTACCCTTTATTTGGACAAGCTTAGGTGGGTGCCTCTTCTTTTATCACTTCAAGAAACGTTAGCTCCCGCTGCTCTCACCCCTAAATCCTTCCCTACCTTCAAAATAAACTAGTGAGATGTTGACAAATGTTGAAGCTGGGTAAAGGGTAGGTGGGATTTTTAAACACTATTCTCTCTCCTTGTGTGTAGCTGTGTGAGTTCCATAATAAAGAGTTTGCCAAGGTAAAGGTACTGATTGGTCTCCTTGCTTAGAATGCCCTCTCCCATCTTTGCCCGCCCCTATAAACCTTCACTCTTCCTTCAAGGCCCAGCTCAGATGCCATTTAGTCCACGATTCCTTTTTGATTCCTGTGTTGGTCCAGTTCCCACTTAAGGCAACCCTGGTGGGAATGTCGCTGACAGGAGTAAAGCCTCAGGTTCCCATCCACCTTGGCCTTGCTGTCTGTGATAGCGCCAACCCCCGGCGTCCCTGCGCATGCACATACACACACATGCACATACTGGGTGGTGGCCTGGCAGCACTGGGGGTCCCAGGGAGGAGGGAGACTCCCAGGCAGGGTGGGGACAGGGTTTGGGTCCCGCCCTATGCCCAGGGCCCCTGTGGGATTCGGGCAGCGTCGGGGGGAAGTCAGAGGTGAAGCAATGATAACCCACTGCCCACCCCAGCAGTTGGAGGGTTGTTCCCAGAGGGAAGGAGCCCAGGAATCTATAAAGTGAGAGATGATGCCAACCTGGCCTAAGGTGGCCTAGAGAGGGTGGATAGCACATATTTAGGGGGATTGATTAGATGAGAGGTGAGATGAGAGAGTGGGAGGCTGTGGAAACATCTGTCACCAAGACAGTAAACAAAGGAGAGGGAAACTTCTGGGGAGTGGGGGAAACATAGTGAGGTCAGTTGGGGGCCGGTTGGGTTCCAGATGCCTACAGGACATCCGAGCTCAGGTGGCTATCCTGATTCAAAGCTGAGGAATTCAAGAAAGATATTGAGTATCTGGCAACTGGCAAAGAGATCCTTGTTGATTTAACCACCATCTTCCTTGGATTTATACACCCTGGCCCTGTCATCTCTTGGCCTTAGTTATTACAGATTATGCCTAATGTGTTTTAAAATATATTTACTACATTCCAAACGAGTCTTCTCTGATTCAGAAATTTGAAGCCCTTGACCGCTACACAGCCAGAAGTGTTTAGGTGAGGCCTGGTGCTATGGAGAGGAGGGGCCGTGATGTGCTGTGCGCCTCCTGAGTATCTAGCTGCACGCGCATGTATTTTTTGTGTTCATGCATTCATGCACATGTATCTGTGAGTGCTTGGAAGGGGTAGAAGAGCACAATGTTTCCTTGTGTAATACTGATGAAATGCTGATGAAGCAAACTGTCAGTTGCCGTCTGGAGGAATAACTTTCCGGGTAGGATGAGCATTGTGTGGAATGTAGAAAGCATTGCTTTTTGGAAGCAATTCTCAAAGTCACGAAGACAGGCAGGGCTGTGCTGTACTGACCCCAGGGTGGTTAGCCTGGGCCCCAGGCTCAGTGTCTTCAGGGACTTCATTACAGTCCTCCTAACTGCATCAAGAAAAGGTGCTAATTAGAAGCACTTTCGAAGGAAAGATCAGCCTCCAATGAATTGAACAGGATAATTAAACCTTCAGCAAAGTAGTTCACTTGGGAACTAATTAGAAGTTTTTCTGAACGACAATTGCTGAGTAACTTTCTCAAGTTTTTTCCCGCTTACAAATGTAATCCATCCTCACTGTCAAAAATAGAGAAAATATGGGCAAGTTCGGAAAAGAAGATAAAAATCGATCATCTCAATACTAAAGATAACCACAATGAAAATGTTGGTGTATTTCCAGATGAAACAAGCTCATTCATATTTAGTGCTTAGAACAGTGACTGGAACGTGGTAATCACTCAATAAATGTTATTGGCTATTATTATTCCATTGTTAATAGGCTTAGAAAAGTCTTTCCCCAGCCAAAAATCAAATAAAGTTCATCTAGGTTTTTTTCTCATATTTTCATTTTTATTTTATTGTGTGTATAATACATAAATATCTCCCCATTATAAGCAATTCATATAATATAGAAGTCGTAACATAAATGTGGATGTATTCCTTCACACGCTTCCCTCTTGTGCTTCTGTCAGGGTGGGGAAAATCCCCTTTCTTCCTTTCTTGCGGTCTTATGGCTGGACTAATAATAAAATTGATTAACAGGAGAAAAATCCAATTTAATTATGTGTGCACAGGAGAATCATGAAGGTGATGCTCAGAGAGTGAACAAAGCAGGCAGCATATACATCTTCCACACAAAGAAACAATAAATTTATGAAAAATTGACGGGACAAGGGCACTTAGGTTTGGGGTACGTCAATAGTGAGGAATTTAAACAAAGTTTAGGTTTGAGGTAGTAAATTAATGAGGTTTGTTTCTGCAGGCTTCATTTGCCTGGAATTCCCTAGCTCTGGGGATAAGGATACAGGGAGAGCACCTCTCACATGGGAGATGTATTTCCTGCTTTCAGGGGAACAGGGACAGGAGGGTGGGAATGCCCTTTTGCTTCTCAAGTAACCTTAATTCAAAATAATCAATATGCTATTGTGGGATATTTCAGGGTGGCCTGCCCTGGGCCCCAACACTTCACCGGAATATGTAACAGCAGTGCTCACTTGTCCACTCCTATTTCATTTCATTCATTCAACAGTCACTTGCACCTCAGAATTGTCCCTCCAAAGGTTAAGAGACCGAGGCATTTATCTGGTGACTCTTGGCTGCATCGGCAGAGAGCTGTGTCCAGGGGTGTGAACTCCCCTGCACTTCCAGGCCCACCCTGTGCACAGGCTGAGTGGAGGTGGAAAAATGAAGAAGTGCAGGGAATGTAGGGGAGTGGCGGCACTGGATACAGAGGCATCCACCCCAGCAGCACCAAGTCAGAGGGCACAAGGCGGAGCAGGAGCCCAGAGGCTCAGCAGGATCTGATGTGTGAAAAAAATGTCTATGGAAATACAAGGTGCAGGAATAGGCAGCCTGTGGATGATGTTGACCAGAAGGAGATTCCAGAGATACGTAGAAAACACAGGAGGGAGCTCGTTAGCAGATCAAAGCAGATCTCTTCATTTGTCACCCTGTCCAGGCTGTTTTTTTCCCTTGATGGCACCATCTCAGTATGACCCAGTTATGCCAAAGCCTGGAGGTCCTCCTTGACAACACTCTTTTTCATTCTCCACATCCAGTCCTTCCCGAAATCTGTGGCTTTGACCTGCTAACAGCTCTTTCCTTTGTTTCCTCTTGAATCCCATCACCCACTTTCCCTGGTGGGTGCGTCCCTCCTCGGCACACCATTACCCTTTCTCCCCAGGTAATGAGCTCCGCTGTCTGCCGGCTCCCTTCCCTGCTCTGTCCTCAGTTCCTGAAACAGGCAGGGCCCAGAACAAATACTTGCCCAAGGAAGCGGCTCGAGGTGGGGAGGCCTCCCCGCCCCGCTCCAGTCTCACCTCCCCCCCTCCCAAGACAAGCAGAGGTGGAGCAGGAGTCAGCTTTGGAAAATGACATGTTTTTATTGCTATGTTTGCAGTGGCTTTTTAGCACAGTAAGAATGTCCCCGCTGGCCCCCCGCCCTCACCCAGCCCCACCCCTCCAGCCAACGTCAGGGTCTGGGGGAAGCCCTTCTGGGGTCCTCTCGGCTGCCTCGGGATTGGACGTGACACAGACGGGGGTTAAGTACAGCTGCTACCTGGAAGACTTGAGACATGGAAAGTGCGTCAGCCTTCAGCTCGCAGGTGGCAGCCGTGGCCGGGATCCCTTCCCCGGCTGGGGCCCACCTCAGATCCCTGCAGTCTGCCCAGCGCAGGGGGCAGGGTGTAAGCAAGCCTGAGCATGCCAGGTGAGCAGCCCCAGATCCACCCGGACAGAACACGGCATCCGTCAACTTGTGGGCAAGGGGGGAGTGTGGGGACAGAGACACCCCTCCCCCAGGCAATGCCGCCCCCCAGCCCTGCCGTCATCCCCAGCCCCGCCCACCTCCAGCCGCGCCTTTCCTGTTGACTTGACCCCCTTCCAGACACAGAAGGACACCAGCACCCAGCAGGCCAGCAGACACAGGGTCACCTCCCAGTTGAGGACCCCTGGCACCTCCAGCCCCCCAGAGGGCTGCAAGACTTTGCTCCCGGGGGAGGGAGAGCCCATGAGGGCTGTGCCAGCAGAGGGCAAAGCGACGGAGAGCTGTCCCAGGGGTGGTGCTCCCCCTCGTGCAGCCCTGGAGGCCAGCTGGTCCCTCCTGGGCCCTGCTACTCGCAGACTCGGGCCACGTGTGGAGCCCAGAGAGGGGGACAGGCCGCCCGGCCCAGAGGAGCCCGACTCCCTCCCGGAACTCGATGACAGGACACTGGCGGTCGGCAGGCTGGTCACAGGCGAGGTCGGCCCGGCGGGCAGCAGCCCGGGCTCCCAGGCGCAGGACGCACGCCTGGGGCGGGGCAGCCTTGGCAGGAAACCGCCACGTGCCCAGCGGCCTCAGGAGAGGGATTTTCGGGGGAATGGTGGCAGGACCTGTTTGCGCAGGCGCTGGGAGCCCGAGTGACGTCATGCGCCGCGGGGGCAGCTTCTTGAGGGCGCCTCAGTCTCTTCCGGGCTGTCCCGGGATCTCGGGGGCCAGGGCCAGGCCAGCTTGGCGGGAACCAGCCACGTGGGGGCTGCTTGCGCAGGCGCACTGGGCATCCTGCGTTGCCTTGCGCGCGAAGGGGCGGAGCTTCGTGAGGGAGCCGCAGTCTCTCGGCGGCTGGCGGGGCGGGGCGGGTCGGTGGAGTGTAGGAGCGCGTTGGTGTTGGGCTCTGGGGGACGGCACGGCAGCCATGCAAGCAGCAGACGGCGACGACGACAACGACGGCGCGGGTGGCGCCGTGGGCGGTTCAGAAGACCTGAGCAGCCAGCATAGCCCCCGAGCTCCCGACTGCCAGGACAGCTCAGGCTGCCTTGAAGGCCAGGGTGGCAGCGAAGGAGCAGTGGACGAAGCAGCCATTGCTCTTCTCCGGGGTGAGCAGGCACTGCATATCCCCGGACCTGGTGGAGATGCAGCAACCGTGGCTGTAGGGCCTGGAAGCCGACTGCTGGAGTTGTACCCTTTCCATGGAGCCTCCCTGGGCAGGACCAGTTTGGGGGGGTGGGCGGGGGGCGGGAAGCCTGGCAGCAGCCTTGGGAATAGACAAGGGTGCACAGGAGGCAACCAGGGACAGCAGGAGTGGGGCAGCCCTGCAGGACAGAGGGTTGTCGATGCCTGAAGGGCCTGGAGGCTGGGGAAGAAGGCCTGAAGGTTAGGGAGGTGGCTCAGGGTGGTCTGACATGGCAGGAGGGAGTGTGGGCGTCCCGGGGTGAAGGCCAGCCTCTGAGACGTGCGAAGCCTGAGGCACCAGCAAATTCAGTAGCAGATGGTGCCTTAACCATGCCTCCCCCAGCACACTCACCGTGCCTTTCCGGTCCCCCCTGGAGGCAGAGATGGCCCGCAGGGCCTTGGCCCCAGAAACCCAACGCCACCAGCAGGCGGTTCAGAAGGAGTGCGCCGTGAACGGCAGCGTCCTGGCTGTGTCAGTTCTACACGGAGCTGAGATGGGGGTGGCGGCAAGGGCTCAGGGCCTGAGAGCCAATCTCAGCCGGAGGGGCTCGGTGATGGACACAGGGAGACTCTCAAGTGTCAGGTCTCCGGGGCGGGTGTGGTGTGCTGGGTGTAAGAGAGAGTCATCACCTTGAACTTGATCTTTACCCCTCGCTTTTAGCAGATGGACTGCTGAAGACCCTGGCCTCCTCCAGATTTCCATCAACTCCTTCCTGGACCAGCTTGCCCTGGTGGTGGGGAGCATTCAGCACTTTGGACTCCCACCTCCGCTTAGCTTAGGCTGAAGAAAGGGGACTGAGGCCAAACCGTTTTGTCCCCTACTAAGCAAGGCGTAGGGAATTGATACTTGGAGTACTTGCCACTTTAATATTGGGATCTAATTTTTTGCCTGTACTGGCCCTTGGTATCTCTTGGTCCACTTGTTTTATTTCCCCGTTGCTGGAGGAGGGGATGATTAAACGTTTGTTACAGCAGAAAATAAAACTGAGCTTCTATTTTGTGTCTGAGTT